ATATATAAATATATATTCATCCCAGGTGCTTTTTAATACATGTTGTTACATAAACAATACAACAGGTATTAAAAAGCGTCTTACAAACTATATACCCAATTGAAACCAGTCTCTGCGAGTGAGACCCAAGCATCTGGATCTTTTTAAGGCTTCTTTGTTGATTATACTGTGTAGGTAGGGTTGAAAATCACTACTCTGGTATATAATATGTCCATAACCTCAAAGACCTTTATTTTGTGCTAGGCTAGTGAAGGAGTAGGATTAGTTTTAAGATAGGTACACAAGATGCTGTAGGAATCAAAAGAGAGTTTGATTGGATACCTAGAGCATATAAAATTCTTAAGGATTCAGACAAAAATTGTCATTTAAGAACACTTAACGGGTAACATTTCAGTAAGATGTAAAAAGGACATTGGAAGAGATATAAATAACTGGAACAAAGCTAGAATCAGAAAAATAGTATTCTACCTCTATGATTTAAAGAAAGTCATATAGAGGCTATAAAATTGATTTGGTTTTCTCTTTGTGGTAAACCAAAAATGTCAGTTAAATTAGTTCAAGATAACTGATTTATACGAGTGCAGTTCAGATTTTTTTTGTATTTTGGTAAACCTGTTTTATTTTCGTCCAACAGTACCCCGAGAATTTCCTTATGAAGAGGATTCAAGGCCTCGCTCCCAGTCTTCCAAAGCTGCTATTCCTCCCCCAGTGTACGAGGAGCAAGACAGACCCAGATCTCCGACGGGACCTGGCAACTCCTTCCTTGCCAACATGGGGTAATGGGCCTAGTGCTAGCCTCTCAGCAAGTGTCAGGAGGACGAGACTCAGTGTGACGTGTTGGCCACCCTTTGCGTAAATGCAGCTGGTTTGAAAAGGAGGGTATTTGGGGGCCTGTGGGGAGGAGCTCGGTGTGTTCAGTCACAGCATCCTTCCTGAGAGTCAGTGTTGGCGCCACATGGAGGGTATTCCAGCACAGTGCTGTGTGTTTTACACAAAACATAAAGCCTTCGTGTGTAAGTTTGGAATGATTGAGATGACGAACATCTTCTCCAGGTAGCAACAGTTTCTGATAATTACTTACACTTATTTTCATAACAGTTGCAAATAAAATAACTCATATGAACCAGACTTACACTACATGTAAAGGGCAAACAACATCTTTTTTTCTTGATAAAATGAGCCATTTGCTTTAAGGTCATGGTTCTATACCTTTGGCCTAAACTCTTAGTCATTCAAACTATAATTAGACATTTGTTTGCCTGCCTACATGTAAAAATCAATTTTAAGGCTTTCAGGTGGAGCTTGTGGAATTGTTTTTTTTAATCCGCACTGGAGTTGGCATGCATGTTGTTTAAAAGAATGTTTATGTTGTATACTGTGTATTTCATGCCATGAGGGGCTATCAGATGGAGCAGCAGTACACTATGTATGGCCTTTGTTCTGTGGCCTTTAAAGGAATACTGCCTGTGACAGAGGTGCTGTGACCATTGTCACCACACTGGTCTGCTCTCTCCTGTGTCCTGTGCTTTGATTCTTGGAGCACTCGAACTAGTTAAGAGTTGGAGTAGGAGGCTGGGTTTCTGTGAGAGGATTTTGAGTTTCTGACCTTGGTACCCATCTGCCAGACCTGGGCTGTTCTCTGTAGTAGCTACTAGCCACAGGTGGCTATTCAGTTAATTTAAAGTGGCCATAACTTAAAGTGTACTTATCCCACCACACTGGCCTCCTCTTAAGTGCTTGTGGCCACACAAGGCTAGCAGCTACTGTATTGGGCATTGCGGAGACAAGAGCGTTCCCATCAGTGTAGAAAGGCTTGTTGGGCTGCCCCAGCGTGTATGCTTGAGGGGGTGCAGAGACATGAAGCTGTCATTTTTTTTCTGCTCACGATAAAAATTGACTTTTTGCTGACTTCCCTGTTAAATAGGAATTCAGTCTTTAACTTATGCCTAAGGAAGATGCAGTTCAGCAGTTTTCAGGCCTTGTAGCCCTAGAACAGCTTGTTCAAATGAACTTTTTAAGGAAATTGCATACATGAAGTAATGTAGGTGCAGTTCTAGTTGAATCAGCAAGATTTTGTGGTGCAAGCCCTAAATGGTCGCTGGGGGGCACCCTTGAGATCTGTGAGGCATCTCCATGTGAACTTGGAAAGCTCTTATGGTATTAGAGAAGAACAGGGGACTGAGACACAAGAGTTGTGGGTTCCAGTTTGAATTCTGCCATTAAATTCTATGTCTTGCTTTTATTTCTAGTCATCTTTCAGCTAGTCGGGTAATCTGGGCTTCGATTTCTTTGTTTTCCCACCTATTAAATAGATGATCTTTAAGAGCTCTTTATTTATAAAGACTGTGATTGGATACTATACTATTTAGAAAAATGCAATCACCTTCTTTATGAAACTCCATACTTATATTTTGACAGGCACATTTTTAAATAAACTCTGGTCATGAGCTTCATAACAGTGCAGATGCTGACACACACAAGGAGTCTATAGTGTTTTCTAACAGGTACTAGGGAAATTTCATTAGGGAAACTAATATTTCCCTTACCTTAAAGATAATCTCAGGGTGTCCAGGGTTTCAGCATTAGCTTTTTGTGTTTCTTAATCCTGAACATGCCCACAATGTCCACCTAACAACCTATTGTTAACTAGATGTGACCTCATCAAAGGCTTGTGGGATTTCCACTCTTCTTCCCAAGAGACTGTTCTGATAAAATCCAGTTACGCCATAGCTGATGACTTCAGATGTAAGGGATCTTCCTCTTTTCCTCCCCCCAGTGGCACCGTAGCACATAAAATCATGCAGAAGTACGGCTTCCGGGAAGGCCAGGGGCTTGGGAAGCACGAGCAGGGGCTGAGCACAGCGTTGTCGGTCGAGAAGACGAGCAAGCGAGGAGGCAAGATCATTGTGGGCGAGGCCATTGAGAAAGGTGGGTCTTCCCAAGGGCCCTCTCTTGCATAGAATCAGAGAATTCCTGATTAAGATGCACTCCAGTTCGGTGTCGTGGCTCCTGTTTATTTGTTCAGAACAGGTGTAGAGATAGGAAGGCCCATAGAAAAAGACGAGAGACTTTGGCAGAAGATGAACAGTATTCAAGAAAATAATTTCCTACCTACTTTTACTAGGCAAAGAACCGTGTTAAATTGACATGATCGTAGTTATGTTTTTATAGCATGAAAGAGCCATGTGCAGTATATCCATGATTATGTCTGCTATATTCCATCCTATAAGTGTTCTGATGGGTAGATAATGCGAACTTGGTGTTTTATTTTCATTTGATTATCACAGGCTGTTCTGTACTGAGGACATATTGGAATGAGTGAAACATGTTTTAGCATTTTAAGCAGGAGGATTGAGTTCACTTTGAGTAAGCTTAGCTGAGCTCTCTTTCCTAAAAGAAGAAGAAAACTCTTCTGGCAGCCCTGTCAACACAGCTTTAGGAGGCAGCTGGTCAGCCTAGAGTTGCCCTGATTTGTGGGAGGATCTGACATGAGGCAGCCAGTGGCTGGCTAGTTAACTGCTTATTGCATTGGGCTAGTAACCTTCAGCCACTGTCCAGCCAAGACTTTTACCTGTAAAGCTTGTGATGTACTCGGTGAACCCTTTAGGAAGTGCACTAAGCAAAACTTTCAGGGAACTGGGAAAGCTAAAAAGTTCCAGAAATCATGGTGAAAACCTATAACAAAGCAAAGCGATGCTTCCATCACAGAGCAGGCTACTTTTTTGCTCAGAGACTGATTTGTGTAGGTGCTTATAGATGACCCTAGGACATAAGGTGGTTGCTAATGAAATTAAATTATTCATTGTAACTCAGACTCAGCGCTCTAAAACGTCCACATGTGATGATTTGTTTTCCTACAGATGCAGCCAAGAAGTCAGATTCAAATCCATTAACTGAAATACTTAAGTGTCCTACTAAAGTGGTCCTACTAAGGGTAAGAAGCAGAAGGAAGAAACCCTGTTTGCTTACCTTGATTTTTGTGTGTCACTCCACCCTAACGTATCCCTGCATGCTTTCAACCCCACTGATACCGTGCCGGGTAAAGAAAACTGAAAAGAATATTTTTGCAAATGATACTTTTGGATAGACTCCATATAAGACTGATTTTAGAGTCCTTTTTGACTAAGGTTTCTTTGCTAAATGTATTTTAAGTCTACGGTGAGTAATTACTTTAAAATATTTGAAATTGTTAGAAGGTAAGCTTAGTTTATACATTTTGATGCTTGCATAATTGCTTTTATAACTTTATGAAGCATAATGTATGATTTATTTAAGAAATACCAACTTTTGGGTGCTACAAGGATGACAGTTTTCATTGTGTCATTTGGGATGAAGAACATTTGCTGTCATGAAATTTACACATCTGTCTCATATATTTGTAAATTATACTTGATAGTTGAATTTATTTATTTTTGTTTATAGAACATGGTTGGTGCAGGAGAGGTAGATGAAGACTTGGAAGTTGAAACCAAGGAAGAATGTGAAAAATATGGCAAAGTTGGAAAATGTGTGATATTTGAAGTAAGAGGGTTTTCTTTTGATGTTTATAACTTGTACTTGACAGATTACAAAACATTTTCTACAAATAAGAGACAGGGTATGCTGTGCTCTAAGTAACATTGTCTTACTATATAAGGTGATAGATGTTGGTTAGTTACACTTTCTCTTACTCAGTTAACAATTTTAAACATGAAGACAAAGTCTTCAAATTTTATTTGGAGAAGAAGTAAAAATTTCATTTTATGATTGAGGTTTAGTTTGGTGATTAAAGACTTTGATTATAGTTTAGTTACTGGGACTTGCCTTTAGTTTCATTCATTTGGCAAGTGTATATTTAGTGCCTCCCACACACCCAATACTATATGGAGAGCATTTGGGATGTTCTGTTCAATTGAAACAACAAAACAAACCACATGTAAAAGAGAATATTGCTAGACTCAGTGGCATTGACTATAAGTACAGGAGTTGAGAAAAGGGTTAGATCAACCAAAAAAATAGAGAAGCCCTTGTGAGCACTATCAGGTGGGAGCTGAGCTTTGAAATGAATGGGTGGGATTTGATAGGATGAAAAGGATATTCAGATTAGGGTCACAGCTTCCAGGAGATTGAGGATGGCTGCAGAATGGACTGGGTGGGCATGGTGGGGATTAGCAGGAGATGTGCCTACACAGATGGAATGGGGTTGTGTTATGCAGGGCTGAGAAAGCACAACAAAGAAATTGTACCCATTATGAGAGACGGAATACAAATCTTTTCATCTTAGATTTCTGCTCTCGCTTCTGCTTCTCTTCCGTATCATGTTGCTGTTGTTGACCACGTAATTATTTGTTTCGGTGTCAGCTGGCTCAGGGCCTCCACAAGGCCAGACTGCTCTGCTTAGTTAGGTGTGTTCCCAGCACCTAACCCCGTACCCGTCAGAAACAGATGTTCAACAGATGCTGATGACAAGTTATACTTATTTCCTTGGTATTTGACCACCACTTGTTCGTATGTGATGATAATTGGAATACTTATTCTGACAGAAACCATTTAGGGAAGAAACCTCACATTTAGTGATATCTTAAATGATAACTTTACCAATTACTATACTTTCTTTCACAGATTCCTGGTGCCCCTGATGATGAAGCAGTACGAATATTTTTAGAATTTGAGAGGGTTGAATCAGCAATTAAAGGTAAGTTGTACAGCTAAATATAAAGACTAAGAAAGTTGAATTTGTGACCTTGTCATAATTAAAACATGTTTTTGTAATGTTTCATAGGATTCCTGTATTAACTGACTGTCTTGTTTGTCTTTTAGCTGTCGTTGATCTGAATGGGAGGTATTTTGGTGGACGGGTGGTAAAAGCATGTTTCTACAATTTGGATAAATTCAGGGTCTTGGATTTGGCGGAACAAGTTTGATTTTAAGAAACTAGAGCACGAGCTGCAAGCTGAAGTGAGCAGAGAAGAAAAGGCAGCAGGCAGCCTACATGGCCGTTGGGCACAGAGACTCTTGGAAGGACTGCTAAATATATGTTGATTGATCCCTTTTTTATTTTGTGGTTTTTTAATATAGTATAAAAATCTTAAAAAAAAAACAAAAACAATCTGTGTGCCTCTCTGGTTGTTTCTCTATTTTATTACCACTTCTGAGGTGATTACCTTTTTTTTGCCAGGATTTCATGATAATTCTCAAGTGCTTCAGTGATAACAGCATTTCTTGCACTAAAAAAGAAACCTAGAAAGTTTTGGGATGTGGGGTTGTATTAAGTTATCCTTTTCTTTCTTTCATTCTTTTCTGACTCATTTTAATAAAAACCTGCAAGTTACTAAACTCTATCTTCATAAATTCTATAATAAAGTATCATCTTGGCATTCTGCCAAAGGTGAAAATGTCTGCTTTCTCTAACAGAGAAATTCTTATTATTGACTCCAATCATAGAAAACTCTTTACGACCTGAGCTAAGGTTGAAGAATTGTGAACCTACCATGACCTGTATGGATGAATAATTTTTTATTAAGTCAGACTGTAGGGTTCGTGATGGATTTAGGGTATAGAATACATGAATCTAGCATTTGTTTTCAGAGATTCAAGCATAGCTTTTAGCGTAGATCAGAAATGACAAGTTAATTCAGAACCTCACGGATATATTGTAAATGCGTGCTCATAATGTTTTGGAAATGGTAGTTCCTTGGGGTCACATTTCTACTGGCAAAATTTGCAGTAGTGTTTAGTTCTTATATGTAATTTTAAAATTTATAAAATTTAGCCACATCAGCTACTTAAACTGTACTGCCAATTAATATAATTCCAGAATTACAAAAAATTGTACCACTGAATTGCAGTGGTATATGTGGCCTTTTGCAGGATCATGCAAAAGAAAAGGTGAAAATATTTGGTACTGAGGTTCATTGCCAGAGCGGGAAGTATTTCCAGAATATACTTTTGCCTGTGTTGTGTTCCCTGCTTGCCCAAATATTGCATGTGACTTTCCTGAGGTGGCAACTGAAGGACATGCACCTATGTTGTCGCTCTAGGTTATTATGACATGAAAGTGTGTTATGACCCTTCGGGGGAAGAAAGCAGTCAACATTTCTTTGCATCCATGGACTCGGTTTCGAGACATAAGGAATATTCTGACCCTTTTTAAAAAAGGATTTTCTCATGTTTTTATTTAACATAAATAAAAGAACGTTTTTTCTTTTGTGGTATTATTTTACTGAGTAAAATTGAATGGAGACTTGGTTTTGGGGATAAAAGTGTGCACATATTGTATAAAATAAGCTTGGGTTAAAGAATGACAACAGTGTTTTGCAGGACATGAGAACCAAGAACAGCCCCAAAACTTGAATCAGTCTACCTGTGGGCCTAGTGACTCAGCACCGACGGCACCACGCTTGGGCTTGCAAGTACCTAACTGCTTCTGCTGAGTATTTGTTAGGATGGCTTAGTGGAATTTGTGTAAACTCTAATGTTCCCAACTGCCTATCAAACCTGCAGTATTATTTTGCTTTACAATAACATTGTTTATTTGCATTTAGGTGGCTTTTTCCAACATGCTCATGATCAGCAACCAGAGAAATGCTAGTAACTTCCACTACTTTGATTTTCAGTAGCATGGGCACAACTAAGTGAAGATCTTTCTCCCCATTCTAACTATTTTTAAATTATCCATGACCGCATTAATCATTTAGTTCATTATTTGCATTGAATTCCTGATAGTGGAATAATTTCTAAATCTCCTGCAAGATAGGGCTTGAGAAATTTGAAATTAATTTTAAATATTAACTAAAATTCAAATTAACGTCAATGTAAAAGTTCCAATGTAGCACAGCCAGCTTTATTTGTGAAACAAGGAAATAAAGGCTTAACTTCTCTTAAAAAATTTTTCCAATATAAATTAAAAATTAATGAAGCTACAATGTAACTAGAAAGATTCAGACTAATGGACATTGTCTTTGGTTCACCTGTGATCTGAAAGTCCTTCCTGTGTTTGAGAGTTTCCTGCATTCAAATTCACCCCCACCCTCCCAAGGTAGAGAGCAGAACTTGCTCTCCAGCCTGTGTCACAGTGAAGGTGGGGCCCCACCCTGGGTTTTTCCCATCAGATGTGCCACCCCAAGGCTTCAGCTTGGAGTAGAGCTTGTACAGGCTGTCCTCATGCTGGCGAGTGTTGGCACTGGGGCAGTGGTGGGAGACCTTGGCATCCTCTACTGGCATGTGCTGTGGGGCCACTCGTGTGGGAGGGCACCCTTTGGAGCAGTTTCTAGGTGTGATTTTGGAGTTTTCTTGCTTTATCTTAAACCTCTAAGCATGACTGGGGCCTGACTGTAGATTCTGTTTGCTATCTAGCTCGTTTTGGGGTGGTCTTTGTTTTTTTGGGTTTTTTTTTGTAAGTTCCTTTTCTGTTTAAACAGGCCGGAGTGAGTTCTCTCATTTGTAACTGATGGATAAACAAGTTGATATCTGGAATTGCAAATGATAAATCCTAAAAGATGGAGGAGGTAGGATACGAGGATCCACTGTCCTTGGTTAGTTGGGGAAACTAGTTATTTGGTAGCAAGGCATCTTGCCAAACGGTTACTGCAGGGCACAGAGCAGACTGGTGTCGAGGGAAACCGCAGAGTGTTAGCGTGTTTGGTCACTTCTTGGGCAGCTGTGTGAATGCCAGACTGCATGGGGTCAAACCCTGGTTCTGCTTGCTTGCTGTGTGACTAAATGCCTTGGCTGAAAATAGAAATGCTGATCATACCTACTTCTTAGAATAATTAGGAGGATAAATGAAATCATACATGGAAAGCAGTATCCCAGTCGTGTTGAATAGATGCAGGCTGCAACGTCCTGCAACAGAGCAATAAAGTCAGGCTAAAGGAAGCTGGTTTGAAAGCAGAGGGAAGAAGCACAGCCTTGCTAAAAGCAGCTTTCACTGTGCGCAACCTGTAGTCTGAGTTGATTGGGAGTTGCAAGACTTAGAGTCCTGCTGGTTGGATAAACCTGCCGTAATTGAAACTGTACCAAGGGGCCCGGCAGCAGCCATAACAGAGGAGTTCAGATTGGAGAGAGATTGTGGTCTTGCAAAAATGGAATTAAAGATGTTGCTTTGAATTGCCTCAAGACAGTAGCCATTAAGGTAGGGAAAAGGGATGAAACAGAGCTCCAGAGACCAGCAGCTCGACACAATGCTCAGTTTAAAAACCATCTCGGTAAAGATCTTTGTGTTGACCTAAGCACAGGATGTGCAGGTATCTGGTTCTTTTCTGCCTTTGTTCATTAGGTCCTGTGTTAAGAGCAGATAACCTATCTTTTTAGCTGTAGGTCTGCCATGTCTCGCCACGTGGACCTGATCATGACAACTGCATTTCACCCAGAAATTTTGGACTGGAAGAGATTTGGAGTCATTTCTTTAAGTTGGGGGTGAGTGCTCTTAAAGTCTATGTCTGGGAAGACCAGTGACTATTTGGGAGGAGCCAAAGAGGTCAACTGGCAGACAACCACCACACATCCCAACACCTGTTCCCAAACTCCTCCTTTCTATCTTACACCTCTATTTTAAAGACTGGAAAAATTAAATTCTTAGGTGGAGCTAGAGGTGGCATTGTGACATATTCTGGCCAGTGAGCTGTCAAGTGGCCATGTAGTCTATATTTTTAGGTCGTTTTAGAAATGCTTCCTACTTTCCCAATTAAACCACAGTTGCCATTTAGTGAAATTCAGGTGATTAGTCAACACTTTCTTCCCCTACCCCAACCTGCAGTAAGGCTCTATGTACTACATTTAGATTTGTCACATTCTGCATTTCATCCTGGGATCCCCCAACCTCCTAAATGAGTTTTTAAAAATTGATATATATTAAGGTTTACTCTTTGAGCTGTAAAGTTTTATAGGTTTCAACCAATGCTTTAGTATCTTGTATTCACCATGACTGTGTCATACAGAATGTTTTCACTGCCCTAAAAACCCCCCCCTGTGCTCTTATCTATTCAAATCTCCTCCCTCACCCATCGCCTGCAACAGCTGCTCTGTTTACTGCCTCCATAGTTGTGCCTTTTCCAGAAAGTCATGTAATTGGGATTATATAGTATGCAGCCTTTGCAGACTGGCTTCCTTAGCATTGTGCTTTTTAGAGTCATCCATACCTTCTGTGGCTTGATAGCTCCTTTTGTATCAGTGACTAATACCCATTCCCCTATCGAAGGACATCTTGGTCACTTAACAGTTTTTGGCGATCATGAATAAAGCTGCTTGTAAACATTTGTGTGCAGGTTTTTTGTTGACATCAGTTTGTACATTAGTTGGGTAGATATCTAGGAGTGCAGTGTAAGCTGGATTGTATTGTAAGACTCTTTAGTTTTGCCTCTCCCATGTTTTCAAACTCCCTTTACTGACATCTTAAAGCATATAAACATTCTCAAATCGCTCCCTTCTCTAAGGGGAAAAAGTCAAACCCTTGAATTTTTAGCTCAGTTTCTTACTCCCCAGGTCCCTGCTCTTGCTTCTTTTCAAAGCCAGGCTTCTCTACAGCCACCTCTTTTTTTTTTTTTTTAAGATTTTTACTGGGGAATTGGTGGATGGGAACAGCGCTGGGGAATTGGGGGAAGGGGAACAGACAAGTTGCTGTCTTTTTGTTCTTCAGTCTAGTTGTGGAGGACGTTGCTTCACTGGCTCAAGTTGGCACCATCATTGCGCTCTTCCCGGGCGAGGCAGATCAGTCTCTGGCTTCTGGACGGCCGCTCACTGCGGCTGCTGGCCGCTCACGCTGGCTGCTGGCTACACACGGTAGCCCATGGCAACCCACTGCCACAGGGGCTGCAGCCTACGCCATCGCCAACGACTCACGGCAGCCCAGCTCTAGATCGAGCTGTTGTTCAGCATCTTAGCTGTAGAGGGCAGTGTCACTGGCCCTCATATGTGGGATCCGAACCGGGGCCCTCTGGCGTCCCAAGCCAGCTCTTAACCATTGCGCCACTCGGCCGGCCCCCACCTCCTTATTTTTGATAACCCCTTCAGTGCATCCCACACTTAAAAGAATGGGGATTGTAACTGCCTACACATTGGACCTACACATTACTTCCATCAGACTTCCTCAGTTGCTGTTAAAGAGCAGTGACTCACATCTAACGGGATCCATCCACTTCTCTTTCTTGGCCTTTCATAGCATTTGACACTCTTAACCACCCCTTGCCTGAGGCCCATGACCACTCTTCCTGTTAGTGTTTCTCTTTACCACTCACCTTTCACCCTCCTCCCAGGTGAGTTTACCTACTACCCTCCTGGCCTTTGGTTTCTGCTGTGACTAACACGCATTATATCGTTATCTCAGCTAGCCCTCATTACAAAACTTCAGATCTGTACACCTGCCTGTTAGATGTTTCCCTTCCACCTCAAAGGCGTGTCCCAAACTGCACTCACTATTCCCCTTGCAAACCTGCTAAGCTCTCTTAATTTGGAAACGATCACCTAAGTTAGAAACCTAAGAATCATCCTAGATTTCGCCCCTTCACTTATATTCCAGCCCAATCTTAGTTGAGACCTGTTCATTCCATTTCTTTTCAGTCTTTCATATTAACCCAGAACTCCTTGATCTCAAACCCTTATCTCTTGGCCTAGAATAGACTGTGGTCTCCAACTAGTCTCCCTGCTCTGATCTTGCATTCCTAACCTGCCAACGTAAGGCCTCAGCTGTTCAAGTTATTCCCATAGAAAAGACTCTTCTGGTCATTCTCTGTAGCCAGGTCTAGACTAAGCTAATAGGCCGGGAGTTGTCCCCTCCCCATGTGCTTGTTCTTATCCCAGCATACCTTCACCTTACCTTCCAACCGGTAGAAACATTGGCAGGTTTTTCTGCTCGTGTTCTTCCCTCTGCCTGGAGAATCAGCCCTTTCCCCCTATTCTTTCAACAATAACCTTGCACCTAGTGCAGAGATCAGCAACTTTTGAGACGAAAGAGCCAGCAGGGGTCAGCAAACTGTGGCTCACAAGCCACATGTGGCTTTTTGGGTACATACATGTGGCTCTGAAGTAAAATTGAAAATAAAACTATCATAGTTTCATTTATAAAGCTTTTAAAGGATATTCACATGATGATTATGTAAAAATATATTTATGGCTCTCGAATAATTTTTCAAGATTTTTTTATTGGGGAATTGGGGGAGGGGAACAGACCAGTTGCTGTCCCTTTGTTCTTCAGTCTAGTTGTGGAGG